GAAATAAATGAAAAAGAAAAACACATTTCGCGAACCAATTTCAAAAGGCATAAGTGAATTCATCCCTGGATTTATTTATTTATTAAAAACTGACTCTATCTATCATCAAAATGGTAAACAATATTATTATTCTTCCTTAAGAAGAGCTTAATCTATATCTGATGAAACTTGGTAAACGATTAAACAGAATGCCAGAGATTACCTTTTCACATTTATCAAAGAGAAAATGTGTAAGTTGATGTGTAAGATTGTTTCTTCTAAGTAAATAATTCACTGTCTTAAGCAATCAGTGTACCGAGTGTATTAGAGACTGTAAGAATTCTAGACCTACACTTCATGCAAGGTGACACTCATTAGCATAGTTTACCTGCTATATTAAACTGTGAAGCTTGGTGATGAAGGTTCGAATCTCAAAGAGAGCATCAGCTACTTTAAAATTACGAGTGTACACTGCTGACGAGTTCCAGGTAGCATGAGTCCAAAACTACTAGTCAACTACCTACAGCTGCCAGATTACATTTTAACATAAGTCGATGTTGAGTCAGTTAAAGTGATGACCACATTTCAGCTTGACCGATGGGACTCAATCAGTACTACATAGAACTATGTAAATATAAAACTGGTGACTACTCACTTATCGATCAGTTGTATTCAAGTATGCCTGTTGCATGGTTAATTATAAATGGCAAACAAAAATATCAGAATACTACTGTCACAACTGCAGTCTGATATTTAACAGTTCATTAAATAGGATAGCTATAAAAGCTTTTTTTATCAGAAGTTCAAACCGACTTATGATTTTTGTCTGGCTTTCACCATACAGTGAAAGGAAAATAAGACATCAAATATACTCATTGTAAACGGTTTAGTTATACTATTTGAGAATATTATTTTACATCTATGATTGATTGAACCGATCAATCAGAAATAGAGGTGAGAATAATTATAAATAGTAAAAATGTCTCTTTGAAAGAATAACAACAAACTAATGATTTTCATTTGAAAAACATTAGATTGTAATTAGATTTTTATAATTTGTTGGATATCATAAATAGTGATGGACTAGCTCTAAAACACAAAAACCCTGGCCTCGGTCTCTAGGGGATTATGGGTGAGTATTAATGAAGAATCCTATCATTTGACGAAAGAGCTTTCAGACAATTGTTTCATAATTTCCAATTGTTGTTTATGTAACATAGGTTCATGATATAAACTATTATCTAAAGATTGATCACAGTGCATAATCTCATAAACATCCCTGATTGTATTACGTGATATGAAAATGTTATAGTGTAATGGTGGTATTTAATATATGATTAGTGGTCCGAAACAATAAACAAATACAAAAATTACTAACCATTAAGTAGTTCTACTCTATTTATTGGTCCTGTTAACAGCGAAATCTGTTCGAATAGTTAATTTTAGGTGCAATTATTGTTAAATTAGTAACCAAGATAAGTCAACTTATTAAGTTAAACTCACCTTAATTTATAACATCAGTGCATCTAGCAAGAGGTTTTTGTAATGATCTTAGGATTCAGAAAGCCAAGTTGGCCTTGATCAGACTACGTTGTGGGTATTCGGGTGGTTATTGTGAGCGATTATTAGAGATCTTGGACGAAATGGCTTGAAATCGTTTACAATAAAGCACTTGCATCTTTGTGTTCTCCCAAATCCTGAGATTTTAAGTTCCTCATAATTCATTTTTGGTTTTATTTCACTAACTTATATTCTGTATTCGAGTCGTAGCTTAAATACTCAAACTTTTCAATTACCACTGATACTGTTACCACCTCTACTATCATGGATTTCGGCCTGAAAGCTTCATAGCGGTGTGCCGATGAGATATGACAACTTGAACCGATGTAAATACGCACAGTTTGTTTCTTGTGACTAACTGACTGACTATTTAAATTCAGTGGTTTATCATGTAAAATGACAATGTTTGATCGAAGGATATTGATCATGAATCTTAACGTGATCATTAACGCTCAGAACCTAAGTACCTAAGTTACACAAATGTTTTTTGTTATTTCACTGATTTACATTTTCTTCGCGAATCGTATCTTGGATATCTAATTTTTCCTACTACCACTGACACTGATATCAACTGTATTATGCTGGGATTCGCCCTGACAATTTTGATTCGTGGTGCTAATGGAACACAGCAATTTGAACTACTGTACACATATGCCAGACTCTACATTGAGTAAGACTGACTGACAGACTAGAAATTAGTCACTTTATTGAAATGGTTACAAACTACTTATTCCATCCAGAAGTAGTAGTTTTTCTACTGATCAGTTGTATTTTTTTAATAAATTATCTTTCACTGATATTGGTTGTCATTGAAATTGCACAAGAGATTTATGTCTCTTCTCTTCATAATTTTTGGCAACCTTAATACTACTACTACTACTAATAATAATAATAATAATAATAATAATAGAAGTAATAATCATTGCAACGAACAAGCGTATGTGTGTACGTCATATGCAATTAGATAAGTATCTCTTTCTCCTCTTTTTCTTCTTCGATTATATCAGTTTATTGAACAGTATTAAGGTAATATTGTCTGCTAGCTGTCATGATAACAGTTAATTCGCTTCATTTTGTTTGATCTGCATCAAAAATATAGATAAAAAGTGGAATAGATATTTTTCTAATAGGATGTAATAAGGGGGAATTGATCAAATTGACATTATCATTATCACTATCATCATCAATATCACTATCGGTAACAACAACTATAATGTTATTCAAAATAAAAACAATTCACTTGCTTTTTGTCTTTTATGTGATGCTTTCTCTCCCTGTCACTTTTTCGCCTTCCCACTCACTGATTCACTACTTCGCTTGCTCTCCATCTCTCTGAATCTCCACCTATTCACCCGTAACCAACATAAGCTTACCTTCATTCACCGTATGTTGCTCAAATGATATGCATAATAAAATGTTGAAAATAGGATGAGTTTTTTCACGCAACACAGAAAAAAAATGAACTCAGCATCGACAACAAAAAAAGAAAGATGATAGATGGATAAGTGCGCTCTGGTAGCAGTGAAAAAGAGAAAAAAATCTAGAATAAAATCTGAGTGTGTATTTCTGTTCATTAGCTTCTTTTTTATTCTGCTCTCTGAAAGTATGCAATAATAATCACCATAATGTTTTTTAAAGGGGAATAATAACAGCTGACTTTAAAACAACTATTATTTTCTTTCCTTAGCTCAATAAATGAATTTTAAGAGTATGATGGTGTGAGGCAGTGACCCATCAAAGACTATGGGAGGTGGTCGCGCAATATCGTGAATTGGTTGAAGTTAGATATTAACACCATCTGATGAAGGCTCAGTGGTTTAGAGGTTAAGCGTTCTCACGCGAGATCGAATGTTCTGGGTCCGAATCCCGCGGGCGAGATCGTGGATGCACTGCTGAGGAATCCCATACTGTTCAGTATTTCCAGGTTTTCATTGGTAGTCTAGCGTAGATCGACTCGTGAATTCAACCGCGAAAATACTACACTCTCTACAGATACCCATACTGAACGTTATGCAAAAACAACGGAAAACATTTATAGCTTATCGTTTATGAATAAGCATATAAACATGTATGCATGTACATGTAATTCTTCGGACCAATTTTTGTTTGCTTCTTTCTAGAATCGGTAAACAGACTACAGACTTTAGTGATAAGGATAGTGGATTGGTCTATTTGTTAATCTTCAAGATACGTGTTCGTAGCGAAAACCCAGTTTCTCTTTAAAAGTGCATCATTTATTTAGTCGGTACGGCGTTCCAGCCGTCGATAAGAAAATACTCAATACCACTTCAAGTTTATTTAGTTAGTTTCGAAATTATTGAAGATTATTTTTACAAATTGAACGATTCGACAAATGTAAATGAAAATGAAGAAATAGTAATTAGTAGTTTTTTACATTTGATATAGAATTTCTTTAATAATTCATAAGTATTTTTTTTCGTTTTGCATACAAATAAAAACGTTTTATTAATTGTATTGAAATCTCCTTTTGTATGGGTAAACGTTACGAGTACAAAAGAACTATATGATTAGATCTACATACTTATACACTACAACAGAACCTGAGTTGATATAAGATCAATTACACAGTAATAATGGGTGTTATATTGTCTTGACCTCAATAATGATTGATTTTTCTATAGTTTTGAAATGTGGCTATTAGTCTGGGTGGCTAGATATAACAGTACACTTTGTTTGACCCTTGTTTGGTAGACGTATTGGTAAGACACGGTGAACTTAGAAATGAAACGATTCACGTTTAAGTGTTAAGACCCTATAACCAGAGATCGAATAACAACCTAATAGATCAGCGCTGAGGATTAGAAAATGTGATATTAACTACTATAAGGTGATCAAATAATACAATTGATGCATTTTAGCTCTATGGGATTTGACAATTACATGAAATTCAAATTCAAACCATCTGAATGATTTCTGACATGTTCAAGTTCTCTATTTGAACTGTTATGCATTTGTTGTATTGAGAAACATATAATGAAATAAACAAACGACTGATAAGAATTTACCATTACTCCTCGTTAAGAGAAGAATAAAAACAATTGTTAATATCATGTATGTTGGTGAGCTCGACAAATAAAACTACATTTTTTGATTCTCAAAAGTGCTCATCTACTAGCCTGCAAGTGGGAATCGAACGCATGACCTTCGGTTTCACTCTCAAATGCTTGGCTACCATACCATTAGGTCGGCATGCAATGGTCTTAGTATCTAACCTTAATAATATATCATTTTGACTAGTTACACTTCAGTTCGACAAACAGAAAATCAAATCAATATTCTGTCAACAAAATGGCTAAAATTTATTGAGAAACTGTTTGTTGACAAGTCATGGGAAGCAACGGTTAAATTTGTCCTTAATTTCAAATTATGTTTCGTTCAATAGAGTTTAATGTGGTTAAACATCTTAGTTTTGCCAATTTTTCGTTTCGTTTTTTTTAAAGGTAAACCTATTCAATGTTGGATTCCACAAGAGTTTACACGTGGTTGGGAAGAATATGCTGAGAATTATTGCTGGGTATCTAATACTTATTTTGCTCCATTACAGCATAGTTTACCTCCAGCCCCGGATAGAGAGATGTTACTTATTGGTTACTATCAATGGGCACCAATTGTAATGGCTATACAAGCTATGTTATTTTATTTACCATGTCTTATATGGCGTTTATTTATGGCTCAGTCGGGTTTCAACGTTAGACGTATTCTACAAATGTCATGTGATTCTAATGTTCTACTACCAGAGCATACAATGAAAAATGTACGCTTCATAGCTCGTTATATGGAAGGTTGTATTTATAGACAAAGAGATTATAGGAAAAGAAAATTATCAACAGTTTTAGGATTTTCTCCTACAAGTTACACTGGTCTTGGACAATCACCTCATATACATGTTCATCAACACTATTCACCCTCTTATCCTCCTCATCTTCATCATCAACAACAACCACATTCACATCTGCACCATCCCCCTCCACCACCACCACCTCATTCACATACCCAATCACCACCATATATGCCTACAAGTCAGTTTCATCAGCAATTAACAACAGTTAATTCAAGACAATCACCTATAGGCGGTGATGAAAATCGTTACAATAATGATCATCAAATAGAATCCACATTGATTACATCACCACGTCGTGATTCTAATACATCATTATTCGATAAAATTAGACATAGTTTCTCTATAGATGATAATAATAAAAAAATTAAAAAACGATTACCATCTGTTACAGAAGAAGCTAATACATTAGTTACAACAATGGAAACATTAAATTCTAGAAATAGTGGTGATTATCATCCAATGCTTGGACGTTTAAAAATTGATGATAGTCATACTCAACAAAATATAACAACAAATGTGAATACAACAAATTCATATCGTTCTATTCATACATTATCACCTACATTATATAAATCACAAGAAAAATCATCATTAAATTTACATAAGAAACAACATTTACATTATTGTTGTACATGTTTTTGTGGTAAACGTCAGGGAAATTTTTTAGTTCTCTTATATTTTTTCACTAAATTCTTATATTTAACAAATATTATTGGACAATTATTTATGATGGAAAAATTTGTTGGTAATGATAGTACATTTTATGGATTTCGTGTATTATATGATTTATTAAAAGGACGTGAATGGTTTCATTCGGGTAATTTTCCACGTGTAACATTTTGTGATTTTGAAGCGAAAAAACTTGGAAAAAATCATAAGTAAGTTTATTTTTTTATTTTTATTTGATTGATTTATTGTGTAGTGAACAAAGACTCAATTGGGGAAGACCAATTAGTTATCTTATGCATAATTGTATAGTGCCATCGTAAAATATGAAAATCATACACTAAATCCATTATTTGCATATCTTCCATCGGTTGTTCTTTACATACTTCATGATTCTTTTAATTCTGTTATCATTATAGTTATTCCATTTTTATATTCCTTTTCTCTTCAGTTCAATCTTCTCACTCTTCTTCTGCCAGGGATTTTACACCTGCTTGGTGTTACACACTACTCGTTTCTGTCAACATAAGTAGCATACACCACAGTTGTACACCTAAAATAAAAGGAAATCGTATTCCATTAAACTTGATTGAATAGATTGAAACAGTAATATTTTTAGCACCATTAGATTATTTAGATTTATTTATGGTAGGGTAGAAATAGGTTAAAATAATGCGATTTTAATTGGTTGCTTGATTAAAACACTTTTTGTTAGAATGAAACCAAAGTGAATCAAATTTCAGTAATGAAATGTCTGTATAGTGTTTTCATTAAAGGACTAGTGATGATTACGTAATTACGAACTTTAATTTTAGTAGTTGAATAAACTATACTCATTTGGTTCCATACAGATTGGTCTCAACAGAAATATTCGAGTCATAATCTATGTAATGATGAATAGAAACATGGAAACGGATAAACGGATATAAATTTATATGACACCGAAACTATAGATTGAAAATTCTATGTCAGAATATTAATTTCCACAAAATCCTCTTTATTTTTAAATGCTGGTTAAATCGTAAACAAAATTTCACTAATTCGCATTCATCAGTAATTAATTTATGTTCAGTTGAAGTAAATTCATCCGGTCATAAAAACATTATATGTTACACCGAAAAAAACGGTGTTTAGCTATAGCTGTTAACATCTACCGTTTATACATTTAAAAGGTCAACCTGATATGAAAATCTAATTTAATGATACTTTGAATTTAACTTTTCCGAAGTTCTTATCTGTTAGTTTACCTGGGTGAAAATCATATTGATTTTTCATATGACATCGATGTCTTGTACTTGTACATTTAAAAGTAAGATGGTGAATTAACAAATCAAAGAATCTGGTTTTTAGTTCTTTTTTCAATTAATTATTCTTATTCTTATTATTAGTTCAATGGAGTTTGAATAATGATGGATTTTCGTATCTTACAGTAGTAAGCACAGCTACTTTAAGAAATTACTCCCATTAAATTGAAAAGAAAACAGTCTAGATTGAACAATTTCGTGCATGCAAATAAGGTAATAAAAGTAAAATGTATTCTGTTCTAGAAAAAGCCATTGGAACCATAAACTAATCTCTGTTAGACAACCACTGACGACCATTTCGTCCTAAGGTCGGACTCTTCAGAAGATTACACCTACGATTAGCTCCGAGAAGAAACTTCGAGACTTCAAATGAGAAGCCATGATCAGTGGGACTAATTCCTGTTGAGTGTGAGACAGTTGCTCAATGAAGGCAATGAAAGATGGTCGTGCAATATCGTGGGTTGGTTGAATTCAGAAATTAACACCATGGGATCCCGACTTGGCTATCTAGAGGTCAGGCGTTCGCGCACGAGAGCAAAGTTCCTAGTTTAAGATTGCTTGCGGGGTCGTGAACGAGGACCATTCAAGAGCCCAATGGTAAGACGAAACGCTCATTCAGTGCTTCCAGGTTTTCAAAGGCCGATTAATATGGACTGGTTCATGATTTCAAAGAAATTTAACAATCTACACAACACTTTATTAAGGAAAATAGTTTGATAAGATAAAAAATTAAGTTGACCAAGTTCTGTAGAAATCGATTTACATCATAGGCTTCATTTGACACAGACCGATTTTCTTTGGTGTACCACTGGAGAGCACTGAAGTTTTTTCTCCCCAGTATAGGACTTCTTAGCGGTGTACAGCCACGAACCCACCAGGGTTTGAATCCATGGCATTCAAGATTACCGGAACCATAATGAATTGCTGTTAAAATAGGTTTAAATAAAACGGTATCTAATCAAATCACGTTTAGTTTTATATTACTATCAATAAAATCCCATTCTTCAGTGTTTCAGTCTACAATACCAGAGTAAATTTTAACTGAAACTTGTTCATCATAAACCGCTTTGAAATAATTCACTAGTTGTCATAAAACGTTAAATAATAAAATTGTAAAATGATTGTTTTAAGTTTGATCTTAATCAAGTTTTGCGTAAATCTATCTGTCTGTATGTATGTGTGTGCGTGTGTGAAATGTCCGTAAAGTAGATTTTCAGACTTCATTACAGTTATCCAATATTTTTACATTTATAACTGGATGGAAAAGAAAGTAGAATTAAATTATATACTGAACAGAAAAACAACATATTTTAAATACACTAACATAAGTGAATTTAATGATTATAAGATAGAGGTTAAGACGATAATGAACTCAAGGAAATAAGCATACGCACTTCATGCATAAATGCCAACCTGTATGCATTCAACATGTATATAATATTTCATGATTATTTCCTTTACAAACCAGAAAAAAACTCGAGTTACATGTGCATTGATTGTATGCAACTTTTCATCTTTCTTCAATCATTATAATCTGAAATATAATTTTATTACCATCCGGTGTAGTAATACATATGTGTATCTATGTGTGTGTGCGTGAGTCTGTGCATGTATCCATATGCACTTCATACAGAATCACCTATACATACACTTACATTTTACAGAACACACAAAATCTAAGACCTATCTAAAAAGATGTAAAAAAAGAATTGTTTTCTAGAAAAGAAAGTCAGTAGACGGTTTCCCTTTTTATTTAGTCGAATATTTAAATCAGAAATGAATTATGTGTCTGTTATTAATATCACCTAGCATAAAATATTTTGAAAAATTTCATACTCATTGTCTATTTCTACATTCAGAGTTTTATCAGAAGGGGTTTGTGGAGATTTTAGAAATTTTCACAAATTGAAATCATGAGTCAGTTGAAGCTAGACCACCATTGAAAACCTGGAAGCACTGGACGGCCGTTTCATCTTAGTATGAGACTCCTCAGCAGTGCGCATCCACGATCCCGCCCCCGCGAGATTCGAACCCAGGACCTAAAAGTCTCGCACGTGAGCACTTGTTTTGTTAAAAAAAATAAATTCGATGAATGTAATCATTAACTATCTGTTCGATATATAGAGGATTTATAATCGTAAATTGGTAATGTCTACACCAAGTAAAGGAGACGATGAGTTCATACTTAAAAATTGGTGCGCATTACTAAGGTGTTTCATACTAAGCACAAAACACCTGTTCAGTGCTTTCCGGTCTATCGCCCTTCCCTTACTGGTATCAGCCCGCGTGGTTGACTACGAAACTGACTTTTTGGTTTCATCGTTGTATTCTTTATTATATATATATATATATATATATATGACTACATATTCCTAAAGGAATTGTAATCGTACACTGTAAGATTTCATGTTGTTTGAAATGCTTGATCAGAATGACTGACATATGGTGGACACAGTATGTGACATATCAACCAATAAACAACTGAATACCGATTTGCTCATATTTTTCATGATATATATGACATAATTTTGTTTGGCGCTTATCAATTATAATATGAAATTTAACTGTTATAGTATGATGTAATTGTTTTGAGTTTAACAATCTCCTGGTAGTCAGACGTAGCTTCAATTAGACAATAATGCTTCTAGTATAGATTGGCTCCAGCTTATGGATCACTGAAAACTTTAGGGGACAGGACATTTGTGTCGTCCTGGTACAATGCACTTCAAAGATCAAACCCAAGATCTAAGGTCTTGCATGTGAACGTTTAACCTATAGGCTACTGAGCCTGAATTCAGTGGTTTTTATATCTAACTTCAACAGATTAGCGATATAACTCAAACAAATTCTATCGCCTAATTTGGAAGTTATTCCGGAAGTTCTACTAAGAAGCCATGACTAGTGAAGTTCGTCAGTGTCGGATAAGTGACAGTTATCGACCTCATGCATTAAAAGTTAATCACCCAATACATAAAGTTGATTGAACTTAGACGTGTACACCTTTGGATACTGGCTTATTGGGCTAAAGGTTAATTAGTCTCCATGAGAGCAGAAGGTCTTCGGTTCGATCCGGTCGAAGTAGTTTTTGTTTACTGCTAAGAAATCTCTAGTTTTCAATAACTGTCTAAAATAGATGCCTGACAGAAAAAATAGAATTGTCATTGGAAACCACTTTACTGGAATATAATGTTCAGGTTGTAAACAGTCGTAACTGTTACACAGTTTCACTAACCAAAACAGGTCAACTAACTAATAAATGATTTAAATCAAATGGTTGAAATGTCAATCAAATTAAAATTGAATTCATTAAACTAACATCAGTCTACAGACATAACTTTCACAATCTAAATGAAGTGTGATCAAATACAATCTATGTAATACAGTAATCTAGAATATTATTTACTCTGTTTGTTTCAAGTATTATCTAAGTTATATTATTTACAGTCAAATCTTTGCATTCATATATACAATCATTCCATATGTAATGAAACTTTTACAGGATGTAATATTCTTTTACGTAAAACGATAATCGTACTGACATTGAAAAATTTACATTTAATACCATAAGATAATGGTTTGTTCAACTCTTCTTATTTCTCTTTATCTCTGTCGTCTTTGTAATGTATGTGTGTGTTCACATTACATGTATGTACACCTACCTGTTGTACATTACTGGTACCGATTCTTAGATTGTCATGAGCTTAATGTAACAGAGATCTACAGTAAAGCATAAAGATTTATTTACCTTCTACAAAATTATTTCCAGGTAGACTTACGAGGAAGTCAGAAAAAACGCCTAAGTAAACTTTAATGGTGCATATTTTTACTGGAGTTTCTTATCATTTCGTTTTCATACTGTTTTTATGTCGATGAGAATAAACAATATAGTGTCCATATCTGCAAATTAG